CCCTGTCCCCCACGGGAAAGGGTGGCAGCGCTTGCGGCTGTTGGGGGAGCCGGGAGGGAAGCGGCAGGGGGGTTCCATTCGGTGAGCCGCATAATGGAGCAGCACCGTACTGCACCGCACTGCATATCCGCTCCATTCACCTTGCGCAGCCTTCGCTCTGTAGTAATTGGTGTGTTTGCAGACTTGCTTCCCGTACATCTTTGTAATAAGTAAAGCCTCACTTGGTTGCCAGTGAATTTCCATCCTCGGACCCCTCGTGGCCTCTGAATATCTGCGCCATTGCCGCGGTCCAGGTTGTAATGTGAGATGTGATTATGTATGATATCAATGATATCATGTGGTATCATGGTATAGGATGCTTACTGTGGAAGTGATTGGACCCCTTCCTGCGGCTTATCTTGCAGGTGGTGACTCGTGTGCTCAGCGAGATGGCCACCCCCAACGTGGTGGCTCAGCACTACCTGTCCTCCCCGCTGCTCATCCACGGCTACAAGTTCGACCTGCGCATATACGCGCTGGTGCTCAGCTGCGACCCGCTGCGCGTGTTTCTCTTTCATGAAGGCCTCGCCAGGTGCGACCACAGATCCGCCGCCGTAACCCCTCTCTCTCTCTCACTCTCTCTCTCTCTCTCTCTCTCTCTCTCTCTTTCTGTCGCCTTCCTTCTTTTCCCTTTCCCCTCACCTTTTTTTCAGCTTTCTGAAAACCCAACCTGCTGAAAATGTACCCGTCGGGCCGGCCCTCTGCATCCGCATTCCATGTTCCCAGACGATCGTATCCTGTAGGCCGTATCATCATCACGGGATCTGACATCCGCCGATGGGTACTCTTCTAAAGTTGTGATACAACACAGATCCAGCTCCCCTCACGTTCCTAGACCCAAACCCTGTGTGCCGCTGATCCGTGTGTGACAAGCCTTCCGTATTTTCTGCTCCTTCACCCATCCTTCATCCATGGGTTGGTAAATTCTTACGACTTCCTGCAGTATCTGCGTTATCCTGGAGTGCATCCGCTTATTTCTGGTACCAGCATCCTCTGTGTTCTGTCTGTGGTTCGTCTCCCCCCCCCAGGACCATCCGCACCCTATTTTAGATGTGGTGTTTTCCTTACTTCACATTTATACATATAGGTTTCCACCGCAGCTGGTATTATTATTATTAGCTGGGTGTACAGGTATCTAACCCTGGGCTGAGGAGAAGCGGTACCGTAGGGGATCGTGCTTACAACTTGAATGTGAAGGAGGGCGATCGGTAGCTTACCTCTCGAAAAAGGGTAAGCAGCAGGGGCACATGCGCTTTTCCACCTACCGCGCCTGGCCGTGTCTTCTTCGTTTGGTTTGCTGGTCCCTCAGGATCTGCACGGAGAGGTATTCCCCGCCCAAGGCCTCCAACCTGGATGTCTCCTTCATGCACCTAACCAACTACGCCGTGAACAAAAAGAACGAGGCGTTTGTGGCGGCGGTGGCGGCCAATGCCGACGGCGGCGAGGACGCCAGCAAGTGGTGTTTGGCGCAGCTGCGAGCGTACCTGACATCGCTAGGTGCGCTCTACCGACCCACGGGTCACCCAGTCACCTCCTTTTGCATGTATCTGTCGGCCTGTGGGTCGTCCTGCTGCTCTAACAGGGTGGGGCCCACTTAGGAGAGGGGGACTCGGGGGGCGTCGGGTCCTTGTTTTCTTCCAGTGTTTTACAACGAGCGCGCTCCCTGGAGCAGTCTAGCTCGAGATGAAGGGTGCGGAATCACCTCCTCTACCCTTCCCTGCGTTTCTCCTACTCCAGTATTGATGTAAGTAATCTTGGGGGCCTGCCAGGCCTTGGAAAGGAGATCCTCGTGGTCCGCTTCTTCCCCTTTCGCTCCACTTCCGCTCCTGGCTCGTCCGTCCTCCGCAATTTTCCGCCGGCTCCGGGTCTCTCTTTCTGGCGGCCCCTCAGGTCACAGCTATGACAAGGTGTGGGGGGACATCGGGGACTTGATCATCAAGTCGCTGTGCAGCGTGCAGCCCATACTCAGGAACAACTACCGCTCCGTGCTGCCTCCGGACAACGACGGCTTCAGGTACAGTGCAGACGGAGAACTGAGAACCGGGGAACCGAAGCTTTCTCTTGGTTTGTTTATTTGTGTTTGGGGAGGAGGGTCAATATGCCTATGGGTAATTTGTATACACGCCTTTCCACGCAACCGGACAGCCGAGGCGTGGATATTGGGGTTTGTGCTGTCGCGGTGTCCCGCGCCGTGTGCAGCCAGTGTGGGCGCTTGGAAATGAGGATAAGCAGCGTCCTCGGCACCCGCGTCGCATCCAGCTTCCAGATGTTGTGTGTGTTTTGCGTCCGGGGTTTCGCAGCTTGTATACTGGCTGGCCTGGGGCTTTTCCCGGTACCCAACTTGGGCCTCATCACCTTACTCCGTCGCCTTTCCTAAAAATCTGCGCCACTGCTCCGTGTGCCGTACACTCTTGCCGTACATGTGCAGCTGCTTCGAGATTTTGGGGTACGATGTTATGCTGGACGATCAGCTGCGTCCCTGGCTGATTGAGGTGAACCACTCTCCTTCGTTCAACATTGACTCTCCATTGGACCTGGCCATCAAGGAAGAGCTCATCACACAGACCATCAAGCTGGTGCGTGTTTGTGCATGTGTATGTATGTATGTATGTATGTATGTATGTATGTATGTATGTATGTATGTATGTATGTATGTATGTATGTATGTATGTATGTATGTATGTATGTGTGTGTGTGTCGAACGTCGACAGTTGTTCCTTCACGTATTCTTGCATCATTCGCATCGATTTGCATCGTCTCTTTCTCCACCTCTCCCTCCGAACCTCTACAGGTGCGTGTCGACCCCAAAATTATCGCCAAGACCAAGAAGGCGGAGAAGCGCGCAGCCACCAGTCGCTTGTTGGAGCCCATGCATGTCAAGAAGCCGCCGCCGGGGCGACAGGGGCCACCTGCCACCGCCGCCGCCGCAGGCGGTGGCGCGGCCAGCAGCGGCGCTGGTGGCGGTGCTGGTGCTGGTGGCGGTGGCGGCGGCGGCGGCAGCAGCAGTACATCTGCCCAGGCGGATGCTAAGGGCGCTGCCGGCGATGGTGACGAAACCTCTGGCGGGAGTGGGGCCGGCGGCGGCAGCGGCGCCGGCACGACAGGCTTTTTGAAGCCGCGGACACCTGAGGAGTACGAGGCTTGGCGGTGAGTGGGGGTACCGAAACCGCGCGAGTACGGGGCCGGCATTTTTTCTTGGTTGTGTATGCTGTGGAGCGATCCATCCCCTCGCGGCAGGTATAGGTATAGGCAGGCTGTCTATCTGGACAGGCGGACGATCTGGATGGGAACGTGTTTGGGAGCCACCTGACGACCCGGAGACGTGGAGTGAGTGCTGGCCTCGAGGCCACGAGCGCCCTCGCACAGCGTGTTTAAAACCCACCCCATTTCTCACCTTGTTCCCCACTCTCCCCTGCAACCACCCTCCTGGCGCGTCTGTCCGCGTCGCGGTCCTTCACTTCAACCCGCCGGCTGCTGTTGCCCGACCTCCTTCGTGCCGCCCCTCTCCTTCGCCTTCTTCACGCCTGGCCCTGCCTCACCTCTCGCCTCGCGTGGCTCGTGTCGCAGGGCCAAAGTGTTGGCTGCGCGGGAGCGCTACGAGGCCAAGCACATGGGCAACTTCACGAGGATCTTCCCTTCACCCGACTCGGCCAAGCAGGCGCTGTACGAAGAGCTGCTTAAGGCACGGACTTGCAGGGCGGGTGGCCGACATCGCTGCACTCGCTGAGGGCCCTCCGCAGCTGTATATAGCAATGCACGCAAATGCGCACTTTCACTCAACACACCACCACTGTGCGGTCACACCACCACTGTGCGGTCACACCACCACCGTAAGGGTCTATGTGATGGCCCCTGCGCGCCTGCTTCATCTCAAACCCCCCAGTTGGAGTAGCTCTGTGTGCGGCTCTGTGCGCCTCCGTGTTGCTTAAAAAAATCCCTGGACGGCATTGACTTCCCAAGGAAATAAATCCCCCGTATGCTCCTTTGTTCTGCTTATTGCTCGTGGCTTTCACTTCCTTTCCGATATCGTTGCTGCATGCCGCTGCCCTCTCCCACCCGACCCATTACACATACATAAATACATAAATACAAACACAGGGCGCCAGCGAGATCTTCCAAGCCTCCTTCCAGGCGCGAACGAAGCGGTCGGACGCGTCGGATGAGAAGAAGAAAAAGGTATGTGCGTTTGTATGTATGTATGGATAGGTGGAGACATGGAGAGCGCGCCGTCGCGTCGTCATCCGCGGCGTGTAAGGACCCCAGCCCCGAACAACGAGGACACCGCCATCATCTATCCGAGGGCATGTGCGCAGGATCGAGCCCAGGGGTCGCTGATTTAGATGAAAGCCTTCTCTCCAGCGGCACCCAAGCCGCGTGATAAATCGCTATAGCCCACCACGCCGCGAACGGGAATGGATCGCGCTGACTGGCACAGAAACGTGCGGGACTGCGGCCTGCCTATCGATCAGTGCCGCTCCCCGTTGCATCATTTGCCTGTCGAACTCCACATCCTTCGCTCCCCGATGGCGGCCCCCTCGCGCGCGTATAGTGCCTTCTCCAGGCCTCACCATCTCCCCGTTCAGGCTCCCGGTACCTCCCTTGTCCTCTTCCTGCTCCTTCCCCTTTCGGTTTTCTTGTCAGGCCCCCCTTCCTACCCATCATACTTCACGCCGTCCGCGCCGCATACCCACATAACAACCCCTTCTCCTGCCGCCGTCAATACATCACATCCGTTGCCGCGCCGCCCTCCACTCCCGCGCCGTGCCGTGCCGTCGCCGCGTGCCGTCGCCATAATACCGTACCGTAATTTCCGCCACGCGCCGCACCACCTGCCGTACCGTGTTCCATCACGTTACGTCAGCTCCCACCACCGGCACCGGCGCCTCCACCACCATCGCGGCGTCCGCAGGAGGACCTAGAGACCGAGTCACAAAAGGCGGAACGTCTCAAAGCCAAAGCCCACCGCGATAACTTGGCGCAAAAGGCAGCGGAGCGGCGAAAATTCAAGCTGCTGGAACAGCAGCGTGCACAAAGCATGCAGATTCCTGGTTACCTGGCCTCGCCGCAGCCGTACTTGCAACTGCCTGGCGGGGCAGCGGCGGACTCGCAAACGGCGCTGCCGCCAGGGCACCCCCTGTACTATATGCTTGGGCCGTACCAGTACGACGCGGCCATGTTCCAGCAGAGTTACTTGCAGGCGTACTTGCACGGCGCCGCTGGCGGCGGCGGCGGACAACGCTTGTCGGAGGTATTTGGTGAGCGCAGCGACGGCGCCGTCAGCGCCAGCAGCAGCCGACCGGTGTCGGCGCTGAGCAGCGGCAGCGCGGCGGCGGCAGCAGCTGCCGCCGCTGCGGCCGCGGACATGGCGGTGGCGCCGCCGCCGCCTATCAGGATCTACTCGGGCCCACTGGCGCGCGCGGCGGCCGCCGGCGGCGGCGGCGGCAGTGGCCAGCGGCCCGGGTCGTCCACGGGAACCAGCGGCCGCAACAGCCCGATGTCGGCCGGCGGAGGGGGACAGCAGCAACAGCAACAGCAACAGCTGCAGCAGTTGCAGATGCAGATGCAGCCCCAGCACGCAATACAGGAAGGGCAACAAATTCAACTACAACATCAACAATCGGGGGCTTTGCCCCTGCAACCCTTTCTTGGCCACCAACGGCGGCCTTCCTCGGCCGCATCCCGCGCCAGCGGGGGCATCGGGGTTGGCTGCGAAGTTGGGGAGTGGACTGAGCAACCTGCTGCCGCCGCAGCCGCCGCTGCCGCCGCTTCCATTGCCGCTGGGGCAGCCGCCACCGCCGGCCGCGGTGGCGTCGCTGCAGCCGCCGCCGGTTCCCGTACTGGTTCGCCCTCCACAGCCTTGCATGGAGCTTCTGGACCTCCTGGTGCTATCCCCGCGCTCCGGAGCAGCGGCGGTTCCGTCAACGGTATCACCGGCAGTAGCCACAGTTTCAGCTACGGCCACACCACCTCCCACCAACACCTACAGGACCTCCAGCAGGCCAACGGTGGCGGCGGCGGCGGCGGCGTTGGCGGGCTTGCCGTCGCACAGGCGCAGTCCGTCCGACCCGTCTCCGTTGGAAGCGCACACAATCACGTCCGGCACGCCCACAACAACACCTTCGAGACTACCGGCACTTATTACGCCGCAGGTACGGCGGGGTAGCGGCTGCAAAGTCCGCGTGTGACAGGGTCGTGCTAATGGCTTCTGGGTGCGGATCTTGCCTGTTATCAATATCCCCGGCAGGAAGGCCGGTAGGCCGGCAGGCCGGCAGCCCGGCAAGGCATTTCGTGCAGGGAAGAGTGATGTCAGTTGATGCCTGTTCAAGCCGCTCCGCCCACGGGGGCCCCGTCATCACGAACGGAGCAGGTTACCTCTTTTTAGCACATTTTCCTTTTCCAGCTATGTGTTTTTCCAACTGCGTGGTCATAGCTGCTGCAGTCTACTTGGGCGTTTGCCTCCGTTATTGGCCTGCCTGCCCGTATGCGCTTTGCAAAATTGTAGTCATGTCACACCCCCCACACACCTTTCTTCCCCCCACCCCCACATCCCAACCCCCATCTTCTACCTCCGTCTCCGTCTCTACGCGTCCGAACTGCAGGTTTCTCAGGCGCCCAGGATCTTGGGGCTGGGGAGAGGGACCAGCACAGTCAGGGGACCGGGCCGGGGTCGGGGCCGAGCCCGGGTCGGGGGCTTGTCGTCAGCGGCAGCAGACCACCTTCCGCCACTACCGGTCCACTTACCAGTATTCGTGACAAGCTTCAGCCCGGCGCCGGCACCGCAGCCGGCGGCGGCGGCCATACCGGAGGCGCCGGCGCTGGCACCGGCCCCTCCCGCAAGCATTCCTTCGCAGCGGCGTTAAACGCAAGCAGCATTGCCGCCGCTGCGGCATGGGATGCTGCCATGGCGGCGACGGCGGCGGCGGCGGGCCAGGACCCCGCCATGATCATGCAGTACCTGGGGTTCAATCGGATGCGGCCCGAGAGCGCGAGCCAGCGGCTGCGGCCCACGTCAGCGGCCAGCGTGCAGCGATCGCCATCGCCGTTGGGCGCGTTGCCGTCAAGCACTGCAGGAATTTCGGGACTGGGCCCCAGCGGCGGCGGCGGCGGCGGCGGCAGCCCCGGTGTTAGCATCAGCCGTAACGGCAGCGGGCGGTACGGTAGCGCGGACATGTTTGCTCTTGGCCTGACGGCGCATGCTTTTTTGCAACAGCCACCGCAGCAGCCGCTGGTGGTTGTAGCGGGCATTTCAGGGTCTGCTATCCCCGGTAGCCCTAAGGCGGCCGGCGGCAACATGGCGACGCCGCAGTCGCCGCGGGTAGTGCCTGGCGGAGCAGTCGTACCCGGTGCGCCACCGGGGTCCACGGGTATAGGTGGTTTCGGAGCAGCTTCGGGCTTGGCCGTGGGTCCATGGGATAACGGCAGCAGTGGGAACGGCTTGGGGCTGGCCGTTGGCCCGGCATCAGCAGTAGCGAACGCAGCCGCGGCGGCGGCCACATCGGGACGTGCGTACAAGCAGTCACGTGCTTCAGGGGTGGCGCCGTACGCAGTCCTTGCGGCGCGTAATGGCAGCAGTGCGCAGGCGCAGGGCATGGTCAGCGGCGGGATGGGTTCTGCGCCCACGGGCTCGCAGCAGGGGGCCCTGGGTTCCAGCCTGGCCGGCCCGAAACGGCGCAGCGACAGCGGGGTCGAGGAGGAGGAAGGACCGGCGCCTGTTTTGTACCAAGCTCTATCGGTTCCCGATCCCGCAGGCGCACATTCCTCGGAGCGGTACAACGGCGCCGGTGTCACCGGCCGACTCTGGTCGGCGGCGCCGTCAGCGTCGTCGTCGTCGTCGTCAGCCGCTGCGGGAGCGGCGGCGGCGGTGGCGACCAGCGCTCGTCAGCGGTCGTTCACCGGCGCGGGCTCCTACGTGCCAGTGGTGGTTGTCACAGGGATGACGGCGGGGGCCCCAGGGGCCTCCGGCGGCAACACCGCAGGTGCATCCAGCCCCAGCAGTGGCTCGCTGTCGGCGCGGCCGCCAGTCTACCCGCCGGCGGGTGGTAGCCCCGGCTTGCGCGGTGCTTGTGCGCCCAGCTCGGGCCGGGCTAGCGGCGTCGGCGGCAACGGTGGACTTGGGAAGGTGGGTGCAGGCGGCGGTGCTGCTACCGGTGGTGGCGGCGGCGGCGGCGGCGGCGGCGGAGCCGCCGCCGTTGCTCCGTCAGGGCGGCTTTCCACGGGCTTCCCACCGACAAACCTTGTGCCGTCGTTCCCCGTCGCAATGTCCGCACCACATGGGAGTCTGGGCGGGATGACTGGAAGCCTGGGTTCGCGCGGTGGCGGCGGAGGTGCGGTTGGCGGTAGTGGCACTAGTATAGCAGCGTTGCAGACCGGCATTGAGGGACTGCAGGTCACTGCGACGGGCTTAGACTTGGACTCACAGCTTCGGAGTGCGGCTCTCGCGGCGTTGAACAGGAAAGGTCTGGCCATCAAGGGTAGGAAAGTTGCGCAGCAGTGAGAACGAAAGTGAAAACGCAGTAATTGCAATAAATACAGGAACAGTATGCATGCATGGAGGTGATCAGATCGGGCAGTGGAGTGGATTGTAGTTGAAAGGAAAGCGGGGGGAAGGGGGGAGGTGTTGGACTAGGACGATGTCGTCTGCAGCAGCAGCAGCAGCTGCGCGCGCGAGAGAGAGAGGGCGCAAGTTGTGCTCGGAGGCATTACCCTTTGTTGACCACTTGACGTGGCGCAAAATCATAACCCGTCGCAGCCGTTGTCGAACCGCCCCGGGGGATGCAACGTTGCGTGTGTAAATTGTGTATGTCTCTATGTATGTATGTGTGTATGTATGTGTGTGAATATCCATGGTGGCGACTTAGTATTTTTAGTAATTTACCAGCGCGAATTTATTGTTGTTTTGCTACCCCGGCATTTCTTCCCGTTTTTGCTTGCTTGAGTCCGGAAAGGACCACGTGCGCGCACGCATGCGAGAAGTGTTGTATATTTGCTCCAGGCGGCTGATGATGGCGGGTTGATGTCTTGTTCTTGGCGGCCCCAGCACGCTGAGGAGCGTCCCGCATCAATTTATGCAACACAGACACAACATGCCGAAGGCTATATGCGTTCATTTGTGCGCGCGCCAGCGAGTCTTTGAGGAAGACGCCGGCGCCGACATCTGCCTTTGCTTTCCCTCACTTTTGCACATTTTTGCGTATCGGGACAAAGCAAGCCGCATGATCTGGTTTTAGGAGGAACCGAACACGGTGATCAAAACACATTCCTGGGTTTGCTGCTTGGCATGAAGTCGATATGTGCGCCTCTAGATCCGGTATCCCACTGTGTGCAGCGGTGCGGGTTGCGCCCTCGCCCGCGCCTTCGCCCTCACACCCACACTCGCCCGCACACCCGCAAGCGCACATACGCTCATCTGCATATCCGCGGGGACTATTGGGGAGGGGTGGAGGGCCCAATAGGTTGTAGTCTGGCCATAAGCACGCAGCGGGGAGCTATTTGCTTGCCTTCACGGCTACCCGCTACTCGCCTTCTCCATTCACCCTCCGTGACCGCAACATCTTTATGGTGTATGGTGTCTCAAAATGCTCAATATGAAAGTTGAAAACCGGACAGATGACAAGGCGCCTGCAGCGCGCCGTCCATGGCGCTCCAGGATAGCGGGAAAGCACATGGCGCGGTGGGGACGTAAAACGGACTGTTTTGCCCTGTTGGATTTCAGGGCAGTGTTCCAGAGCACACAGACGCTGATGATATACGGCGTTGCATTGTGTGCACGCACTGTAATTTTCGGTTCGCGGAAGCCCTTGCTCGCCTCGGAGCTCGAGAAGCCTATGTGCAGCTGGGGTGTCGTGCATTCGGCGGAAGGAGCACAGCACAACAGCAGTGCACCGACTTACGAACCACATGCGTATGACAATTTGTGGCGCTTGGTCTGGCCTGGAGCCTGGGTAGCTGTCCTGCCTTTGCCCCAGGACCCGCGCTGGCACCCAACCTGCCGACGACATCCCCTCTGGAACCCTCTGGAACCCATAGCCGGGCGGCTTTTCGCACGGTGTGCTGGTGGTTGAGATGTATTTCTGGACTGTTGGAAAGAATTCAGCTTTTCGGTGCCTGATTTTGCGGTAATACTCGTAAAGGGCAATGTCGTCGGGCAATGTCGCGTCTAGTTTGGTTGGGAGAGGATGACGGAGCGCCCCCGGCAAGGGGCCGGACGTGAGCTTGGATGTTGCGGAGTTCGGGTAAGTCCTGTGCTCCACATTCCCCGCCAGCAGGTGCTGCTGAGCGGCCTCGCGAAGGAGCTCATCGCGACGAGCAGGTCCGGAACCAAGACGGGCCTGGGTTTGGGGGGAGGGTGGAGAGAGGGAGAGGTTAAGGAGGACAAGATGGAGGAAGGAGGGCCGGGAGGGCGCGGGGGGGGCCCGGGGGGCGGGGGAAGGAAGTTCCGGCGGGGTGGCAGCACATTCCCATGTACACCCCCGCACCACATTTCCGAGTGAACATACATACATACGTACGTTGGGCCCGTTATGAATCTTCCTCCTGCTGCCTACCTTGGTGGCTCACGATCTATGGGGTATGTTCGGTAATAATCTGGGGTGCTCGCCTTTCTGCTGCGCAGCAAGCACTGCCGGGCGCATGGCCACATGGCCATCATGAGAGGACCCTGCGTCGGAATTCGTTTGGCCGTAACATTTTCCGCACAATGTCCCAGAGTTCGATCTTCGACACATGGCCAACGAAGGAGGTGTCTGCAAACGTGAAAGCTTCGGTGCGGATTAAGCAGCTGCCAAGTTGTTGCAATCAACAATGTTTAAAAAAGGTTTGACTTGCGCAAACCGAAACCGCATGCGGGTGAAGTGGGTTAGGAACGTGAAGCTGGACGAAGCGAACAGCCAGAGGACGCCGGAGTCTTCGAAATGTCTATGTCGGACCCGACGGTGGATGAAAGAGAAGATCTTATTTAATAAAGTAATTTTTGCGTATATGCCGTTGCCGCTGCGTATTAAATGTCCAGCGAGGCAACCTCACTGCTTTCAGGAGGAGCAGAGAGGAGCTGACTGGACTTAACTGGAGTTGACACTATTCCACAACAGTAATGAAAGCGAGCCTTTTTCCAAATAGGCAAAATTTTGTCGAGACCTCGCAGTCAAGTGTTTTAAGTTGTGGAAGCGTTTTAGTGAGCAGAACCCTTCCCACCTAAAGCCGCGAGGTAGAATGCCTGTTTTTTTTCTTTACTAATTCAGCCTTACAGATCAGCTGTTTGGATGTGACATATCGCTTGCCGTGCAAGGTGCAACTCATCTAAACAGCGAAAGGTTTACAATGACTGATATAAGAAAATATGAGAATATAATATAATTAAGGTATACGTATAAGATACATGATGATTGAGTTGTTGCATTGGGCGGCTCTCAAAACGACTTGCAAGTCGCAAGCATGTGATCGCTTTACATCAAAAGCGCCTTTTGCTCAGGTCATCGTACGCAGGGCTCTGCTTCCGCGTTTTAGCAAATAGGAGGCGTTATTACAAGGGGAATTAGCAACGAAGTCGGACATTCGCCGTCAGGCACAGCAGACCGTTCATCCTACTCCAGGAACATGCCCTGCACGCAGCAGAGAGCTATGCCAAACGAACTACGAGTAACCACCGCAACCGATCCTACCAAAGGACGCGTTGTCCAACGGGAAACAGCACTTTACATATCGCCAACCCAGCACCTCGAATTGGAACGAACCACCCTGTCTCAGGCAGCCCAGGCAGTGTCCAAGCACAGGTGTATGACATGCAGATGCTGTCAGCCCTGAACCTTGAGGCGGGATAGGTCGCCGTGGTCCCGCGAAAAATTACCAGTCGAACAAGGCTCCCTGTTGGTGGCCAGCAGCACGAGCTGCACGGGTGAGATGTCCGCACGCGTAGCTCCCCCTACTTAACCGGCCGGGAACGCTGTGTCACCGGCATTGTCGCTGACCTGGGAGTTAGCACTTGGGGGCGTCACTGAGTGTTGGGCAAGCAAGGTACTAGCCTTTCTTACCAGCTTAGGAGTAGAACCCCCCACTAATACGCGCGGTAATGACCTTATAGCGTACTACACAACCCTTAAATTGCCAGTTGAGAGCATTCTTAAGGTATTTGCCAAGCGGCTTGATGCACGGTGGGAGCGCCCGAATACCTTGGGTGACCCCCGCGTCTTCCCCATAGGAATTACCGGAGCCAAGGCGTGTCGCTATGTGAACTGGATGGGAGCTGCCCCGTCTAGGGTTGCGCGTCTCGATTGGTTGGAGCACACTTAAGGGACCATGCCCCAGCGACTTCATCATGTGCTCATGCGTTTTCGGTTAGGCTGTTGGGAGTTAGAGGTTAATAGGCCTAATGGGCGTGAGCGCACCGGCTTTGTGACTGTGGAGCGATTGAAGATGAGTTGCATGTTTTCGAAGAATGTCCCGCTTACAAGAGCATAAGGGCTAAGTATGATGGTGACCTAGTCCTTACGGGGCGCAGCATGCGCACCATTATGACTGAGGCGCCACCCCTGGCATTGGCCAGGTACCTCTCGGAAATTTGGGAGGCCAGGCACGTCGCGCTGAGGCGCTTCGCCCTGAAGCGGACGAGGGAGAATGAAGATGACCTCCCGCGTACCCGCATCAATACCAATACAACGTCCATGGGCCCCCCGGCTTTTACGGACACACCCGCACTTGTGTGCGGAACTTGTAACTTGTAACTTGTAACTTAACCCCCCATGCGTCCATGACGCGAACTCCCCAAATCGGCGAGAGGTGCAGAAGAAAACACCCAGCAGCCATCTCATCGTCCCCGGCAGCCATGCGGTATCAACGAATAGCAAGCTCCCTCATCAAGCAATAGGCCACGGACGCTGTGCCATTAGGACAGCGCCTGTTGAAGTTTCTTTTCCCCCTTTCCGAAAAGCTGCCAGTGAAGACCTAGCCGACGAGGACCACAAGGCAGGAGAGGGCGCAGAAACCAGCGGATGGATTATGATGAGCCTGAAGATAGACGCCCGGAGCATTGAAGAGACCGGCCAGTATGTCAGTACCGTATTGGGGCCAGAAGTTTGTTAGAGGAGCATCACCTGTCGTACTGACCGTGCCGGCCAGTGGCATGACTGTCCCCCGAGAACGGATAACATCCGCAAAGGGACGCGCAGCTTACCAATAGATACCGATACCCCGCGCAAAAAAATGACGCCATTCCTGCATCAAGGCTCTACGCGCCCTCTGGATATCATCAGTAAACTAGCTCCTCATCTTGGTCCCTTGTCGTCATCAAACAACTAAACGATATCTCGGCCTGCTGGTAAAGCAGGGTAGAGGTAAACCAGCCGCGCGCCTAGGTAATTCATAGGCCGGACATTCCATGCTTCATAGCCGGGCACATGAAGCTCATCTTTTGCTACATCGCCGCGGCAAATACGTCAAATCCGTTCAATTCGGGGTTTGCGCCCCGGTCGCCTGATGTGCAAAGCAGAGCGCATATATGGAAAGCGTTTTTTTGGGTTTCAATTTATTTCAAAGCAAGGAATGAAATTTAAAATCGTGCTAATAAATTATTCCTGAACCGTGAGGCGCTGGGGGCCCTCAGCCGTTTCCCAACAGACCTTCCCGATGTTTCTCAAGGTGAACTGCAAAGCCGGGCCACGGGACTTACTTAGGTGTTTCTTTGCGATGAGAAGCTTTCACAATAGCGCCGTCGCCGCCGCGTCTGTGCGCTAGTCAGAAATGCTGAAAATGTCCCATAGAGGCCTTTCACGGACTATCCACTCCATCCTTCTACCTTTGATTATAGATAACATTTGGCAGGACATAAACCTTGTTGCCCAGGAACGAGTTTGTAAGGACTTGTGCGCCCGGATGTGAATCCATTCCTATAACCCAAGGCCCAAAACTCGATGGAGTCCTTTTTAAGAATGTCGTCGGGTGCGTAAGCAACCTCCCATCCACTTCACGTAGCGACACGGCACCACACCAGGTTTCCTCTGCTGAATTTCCCCCAACGGCGTATTCCAGGACGTTTTCTGAGGCGCCCTGATGTCAAGCTCATCACTGGAACCCCATCCAGCAGCAGCAATAAACGCTGTCCAAACTCGTCCAGTCACCAAACAAAATATCCAGCCTAAGGATTGCCTTGGTCTTGTCTGCACGACTAAGGTCCGCACCCACGAGCTGCTTATAATCCTACCCTATGGTTTCCAGCATTCGCAGCACCATTGATGTGCCACCAACGTTAATCGTGGTCATGTCTGCTCATTAATGATATAATCTCGTTCGTAGCCACGCTTTAATGTCCGCAAAGGAGGAGGGTTGCTCTCTCCGATGCTTCCAGGACTGCTCCCAAAAGCAATGCAGCGGCCATTGCGAGGTCTCGGCAAAATGTTAACTATTTGGAAAAAACCTCGCGCTCACAACTTTCATAACAAGGTATTCAATACATTTATCGCCGGGTCCGGCATGGACTTTCCGAAGACTGTACTGATGTACAGCGCGTGTACAGGCACACAAGACCGCCAAACACGTCCCCTTAACATTCGTCAGGCTTCTGTTCATTAATCCTTGAAAAAATTAATTTTATTCATAACAATTGCAAATTATGTATAGTGTTTGAAACGTGCGAACTTCTTCTTTTCCGCCCCATATTATAGCCTAATTTTTGGTAATTTACGAAAATTTATCGTTTTAAAATTCACGTCGGCCCGAGCTAATTCGTAAGTTCTTAAATATTCTGTATCATCTGCAAATCTGAGATATCTTGTATTAAGACGTTTTGCTTGTTCTTACAGGCTATTTCTGGTAAGTACGCCAAAAATTACAAAGCACATTAGGCACCAATCACCTTTCACATTTTCCAAGCTTCATGCTTTTATTATCTTTCTATTATATACTAGCATCATACTGCCTTAAATTGCGTGCCAACTGGAATAGAGACACTTCAATTCTCGTCCATCCGTGGTGGCGGCGGAAGAGCTGCGGAAGCGCGGCCCATCACTAAGACCCATTGCCTTTCAAGGCCTCACGGAAACGCAAAAGCTCCTGGAGACAAATAATTATATTGTTTGAAAAACTTGTCTCATACGCCTCTGTATCAGATTAACATGCACGAGAAGGCGTATCGCTTCCCGCTGCGCCAGATCCCGCCCTTCCTGACAACTTGCGCCATCCGCCGCGTTCATTCAAATACCGTAAACGATTGCTTGGATTACCACACTTTGGTCATTTCAAGGGCTCCATAAGTTAGGTTGCCTGTGCATAAAACAATTGAAATTTATGAAGGTTCAGACGCGGAGAGAGAGACTTCGGGAAAGCTGTACGCGCTATGACTCAGCAGGGAATTGTCCCTTGCAATTGGTATGGCTTCGGCCCAACATCGTCACCGGCATCTTCCACTTCGTTGAACTTCATAGCTAACCTAGCAACACCTTTAGCTCAAGTTGAATATTTTTAAAAATCTGCATTTAGAAAACATAAACTTTATCCTGATCTGTTGATGCTCGTTGCTAATATATTCTAGGGAAAGCCGATTTATGAACGTCCCCGGTAATGCTATCTGTTAGGAAATGAAAATCAACCTGGCTGGCCACAAAACTGGACCGCAGCGGCTTGCGAGTACCCGGATAATAGCCATTGATAGACGGTGTTGCAAAGGGCAGCAGGGCTTTGACGTGGCGTGTCCGAAGTCTGACAGCGCGGATCATGGAGAAACGTCCCAGCACACAGAGCGGGTTTTTTACATGCAGCCCTGAATTTCGTTGCCTTAACGTCCTTGCATCATAATCCGCGAAAGCGCCATTCAATTTTCTAACTGGATGCTCTAGACCAAGCATGATCCGGATGCGCAGGTGGCAGCAGCGACTTATGGTAGCTGCACGCTCGCACCAGCTCTTGTCGCCTAAGGAAAGTTGGGGCCAGCCAGACGACGGATCGCCGCTCTGGTCTGAGTGCTTTGACATGGTACAAACGTTATGAAACCTTCAAAGTTCGTTTCTGTTTTCTGTTTCCGTCATCATCTCTGTCCTGCCTTCCCTACTCATGAACTTACATACGAAGAATTGTTTTGTGCATCGTCGTACTCCGGGGCCATGCATCGTCGTACACTTGGAGCCTACCTGCTGGCACGTGAGGAAGATGCATTTAAGTTCAGACATTATCATCCCCAAGCGTCTGCAAAACTGAACGCTGGAAGAAATGAGAATTTTCACTTCGGCAGCAACGCCAACCACAGCTGCGTGGCGTAATGCAGTGCGGCAGCTCATCATGAGCTGCGTGGCAGACGTCAGGAAGAAAGCAGCTGCTTCGTGCATTGGTGCGCTGCGCCGGCGACATCCCAAAGCTCTAGAGGGCTACTGACGTATCCGCCTACTGAAGCAAGCACTGCAAGCTACCGCAATGGAGGGTGGAGGGTGGAGGGTGGAGGGTGGAGGGTGGAGGGTGGAGGGTGGAGGGTGGAGTTCCTGAGGGGTGCTCTGGTGGTTCCTGTGCATGGCCTAAGGCTTCCTAAGGCCTTCACAGCCCCTGAAGAAGCGGGGTGTTTGCTCTAACCACTGATGACGGAGATGGTGCGATGCATATGTCGCACGATTTTCAAGAGTCTTGGTTTGTCCTCTGGCTGTGAATTGGCCTTTGGCACGGGCGCGCATAAATGGGGCGTTTTGTCGGAACGAAGCCCAGCACAGCCACAACATTCATCCTAACGCCTAGTGTTGGAGTTTGCCTCTGTCGGGAAACCATGTTTTTCCGGAAAAGAGATTGACTGTCCCGTCAGTTAACATCCGCCCAGGGCTGGAGTTTCAAGCACTCCTGGGCTGTAAGGCACTGCAAACGTTGGGGGATGTTCTTCTTGGGCGGGATGCGCTAGATGTGGTTATGCACACACCGGACTGGCCCTTGCCTTACAGAAGGAGCCATTGATTGAGTTGTTGTTATCTTTTGGGGCCGCCTTCGCGGTTTTTGAGTTCCACGGAAAGGATAAGGATTTGGTTGGGTCACACACACACACCTTCTTGCAAATTATGTCAGGCAAAGTTGTTATGTTCACGGGAGCGGTCACGGATGGACGATTAGCTATCGCCTGTTTTGCTTCTTTATCTCTTTCACTGGAAACTTTTGGGGCACAGGCTTCATCCAGTAACAACGTGCAGTTCCTGTCAGTATTTAATGGAGGACCTTCTGGCGGAGTCCGATGGCTTTCTTTCGCCTATTGGCAGATTCCCCAGTGGTTGTGGGTTTCGGAGCCTTCCCATGGATTCGTTTTCTGCTGTCTAGGCGACTCGCGTTGCCTGGTCTGGGTGGGTGTCTTGTTTGCCCTGATAGTCTCAAGTGCAGTGATAATGCACGGCCAGCTGGCCAGCTGGCTCTACTCCTCGTGAGTCTGGAACCCATTGCAACAACCACACACACACACACCCACACACACACACACACACACACACACACACACACACACACACACACACACACACACACACAGACCACAACGGAGAAGTGAGCCTGCAACAGCACACCAGCAGTTAGGTGCCGCTATGCCAAACATTGTGTTTCTGCTGACTGCAAGTCAGACCGAACGGTGTGGCCGTTATTTGCGCTGCTGCGGCAGTCTGCACCTAAGCAAAAGGACCAAGAAATAGACGACGAATTGTCGTTACATCCAGGTTCGTTAGGTGTTAAGTACCACGACACGGGACACTCGTTCTGTGTCCATGTGCGGACAAGTGTGAGCTCGACTAACTGCCGCACTCTGCCGCCAGTAGCTGCATGGATGCGGCACCGTTGCTGTCACTTCTATTCATTTAGAAAAGTATATGGTGCTGTATATGTCTCTGAACTTTTCCAAAAAAATGGTATCATGTTTTGTTGACTTGCCAGATAAATACATTACCTTTTTAAAAATTTTACCTGAAACACAAAGGTCTGTGAGACTATAAGTATATTTATATATGGCAAAATATTTTCTTAGCTTTTTATAAAGATGTATATCTGTCTAGAAGCCGTCTATCGACTTGTGTACGGGGCACGGGAAGCAAATATCATTTTAAAAATTCCCAATGACAATGTAGACATCTGTAAACCAATTTTTTAGCTTCCCAGGAAAACGAATAACCTTCCACTCATTGGGATATGGGACATCATGACTTTGACGATGTCGTACTTCAACAACGAGGTCATAAACACATGAATACACGATGCCTTAGGTATATGTATATATACATATAGTGGAGATATGAGATTGTAATACTACAATGTCGTCCTCAAAGGGCCTCTTCCGGCTCGGCAAGTGACCAGGGGCCCGTTGAGCAGCACCGTCGAAAAACGGCCATTTATCTAAGCATCAACAACTATGGCAGTCAGAGGAGTTTGGACGCGAAATTCCAGGTGAATGTGTCATGCAGTCTGGGTGCAAGTTTTGACATCCATACGCGAAACCAGCTGTTCTTGTGCTTCTCATAACCGCCTTCCTGGGATTGCACACATGAAGATGTATCATAATCTGATTACATAGACTTAATTGTTTCTACGCCCGCGCACTGATGGGTCCACCTCGCGTCCTTTCAAGCGCTTTCAGCGTTCCCGCATTCATGCCGCAGGGGCACTGGAGAAATCGTCGCCATAATATAACTTATGCACATGTCTGAAATCAGTTTTCTATGGTAGGGTACATGCGGTGTTTTCCTGCGGACAAGGCCCCTACTACCTCATGCAGCCAGGTTCTGCACCCGACGCGGGAAACACCGAAGCAGCAAGCGAACAGAAAGCTTCTCTAGCCGATGATCATGACGTCGTTCCTGGTAGTGCTGATGGAAGTGAAGCGGCCGGCGAGAACGCGAGCGATGGGCCGCAGCAGCCGTCTCTCCAAGAGCAGCGCTCACAGACAAGCCGTACACACTCTGGGCGTAACAAAAGGCGTGGTTGGAGTGCGGTTGAACTATGCACCTTAGCTTTGCTACACGCGGTTCATGGAAATAAATGGTGAGATATGTAAACACGATAACTGCCGTCGGGTGAAATGCTATATGCACTTAAGTCCCAACCCATACGTGGACTCAATCCTTTGCATTTTTTTGTGAAGGAGCGTCATCGCGCGTTACTACCGGAACCGACATGATGGCGATGTCAAGGTGCGTTCCTTACTGGACAGCTCCAAATGAAGCTTAATAAAATAATTAAAATAAATAAAGTGATCCTCTGGATACTTGCATGTTGAGCGGCTTGGACTATCGCAACGTACCTTTTGAAAGAAACGTGTTGTTCAGATTGTCCTTGTCGCGAAAAAAAGTCGCACGATGGACACGTTCCCAGCTGCAGTTAGAGGACAGCATTACCAACATGTTTCCAATGTCCAGTTTCTGTTCCGACTGCTGGTAGGGGCTTGACGGTACACTTCACACCGTACGTAATGATCATCGGCTGTAGTATACCGCACGCATTAATCTAAACCTCGCTATGCAGGACTAAACAACCATTCGGCTCGCGCAATTGAATAATGGGCCATTTTGGTTTGGAATACAAATGACCGTTCGAGTAACGAGGACGCCTGCCTGTTCGTCCCTACAGAAATCACTCACCACGGTGTTCCCCGAATATCCAACCCGCATCCCCATCACCCCCTGGATTACCCCCCACATCCCCACCACCGCCAGAACATCTTCCACAGTGCATTGCGATCCAAGCCCACCGACGCAAACAGCCTGCTTCGCACGTACGCCCAAGCGGTTGGGCCCAGCTGTGATGACCCTACAGTACGACAAGCTGCGTACGAAGCTGCACGCCAGCAGCATGGCAGTACACCGGTGCTCAGCAGCGCTGCTTCCTACTTCAACCAGCCGTTCTTGTCCGCCGCAGAGAGGGGCTTAGAGGGAGGTACGGCGGCTGGGGATAACACTTTTCTTACATGTCAACGTTGCCTCGCTGGTACTGCTGTACTTTTTTGCGGCTGTTGCTGCAGACGTCTGATAACGGACGCTTGTTTGTTCATTGATTCTCACGATGTGCCATATGCCGCGCGTAACTTCAATACCATATTTAAACTGTTTGCACGCCTACGTGAATCACAGTGCGGCATGTTGGGCATTTTTTCTTTTATTTCGCCGCACTGATCCAATGCCCCCATTAGGGGTCCACCTGGATGTGTGCATAATAACTCCCAGTCAGTGTCATGCCACGCAGCCCGCCCTAACTTCATGAGCCTGAATCCGTTGTGGACCCCCCCCCCCCCGATGACGTGTCGCGATGCAACTGTCCCAACCAACCCGACACCACCGCCATCACCACGCAAACGGGGTGTTAGCAACCACAGGCAGTGCGTCCCCACCTGGCGAGGAGGCGGACCCGGGCGGCCAGTGCGAATCTGAGGCTGTAGCCGGCGCTGCACAGCAGCAGGAGCAGCAGCAGCAGCAGGAGCAGCCACATGTGCCACCAGGCTCGGTGGTTCCCACGCAGGCGCAGCGGGGCGAAGCAGCAGACGGCAAGGAAACTTCCGTAAGTCCGCGCGGGGGAGGACCACAGCCAACACCGTCGCCTGCCCCGACCAGCCCTCCTCGGCGAAGTCGTCGCCTGGCTCCTAGGTCTGCGCATTCCACTGGTCAGACCTGGCCGGCGCGTGCCGCATCAGAAGCTAAGGGCGGCGGCGAAGGCAGCGGCGGCGCCGATGGTGGCGCTGCGGCAGCAACCGCAGCTGCGGCAGTGGTGAGCAGCCTGAGCCACGATATCTTGTGGCGGCTCCGAAATCAAAATGTTGCCAGCGCAGCGCGGACGAGACTCTCCAGGGAGGGCGGCGGCCCTAAGGAGGATTCCGAGGTCAATGTGAAAAGGGCGTGGGGTGACGAGAGCAGTGAGAACCACCCAGGGAGCCGGACGGAGGCGGCCTCTGCAGCAGCGGCGGCGCCGACGGCGGGGGGATTTGCAAGCAGCTGGACCCATCGTGCCCCGGACGCCGCAGCAGTACCGTTGCCGTATCCTGCTGCCTTGCTGACCCAGCAGCAACAGTATCATCATCATCAACAGCAGCTGCTGCTGCAGCAGCAGCAGCAGCAGCGTGTGACTCCAGCCCAGCTGCCCTCCTTCCAGCAACCCGCTCCACGCTGGGTCACCTCCGCCGGCGCTACGGCCGATCCACAGCGGCCGCTGCCACAGCTGCCGCCGCTGCCACCACTGCCTACAACGCAGCAGCTGCCGCCGCAGCCTCAGCAGCCGCAACAGCGCCAATCTCACCCGGAGGAGCTACAGCTCATCTACCGGGAACATAGCTGGACTGCAGGCCAGGGTCCTTTGTACGGCAGTCCTGGGGCGGGTTCACATGCCGCTAGCCTGTACGGCAGTCTGGGCCTCCCTTTGGGCGTGGTGGGCCATAATAACACTGCTGCGAGCCTATACACCGATATGACAACCAGGATGCAAATGCGGCCGACGCATCTGCTGACGCAACCGCTAATGCTGGCGCCGCCGCCGCCGCTGCCACTGCAGCAGCAGCAGCAGCTCGCCGCGACCATGTTGCCCCTGGGACTTGGTCGCGCCGCCGCTTCCACCGCGTCGTCATACCTGCCGCAAAGCATCTCCGGGGGCGGCGACATTGTCGGCGGTCTGGGGCGGCTGATTGAGCCCCTGGCTACCGGTGGCGGCAGCGTGCCCATTCCCGTCAGCCTCGACCCGCGAAGCAGCCATCGACTAGATGCGGCGGTCATGACAACAGCCTCTGCTCCCATGCGTGATCCGGAAATCGTAAGCTTGGCTTCGTCTGGCCGTTCAGCCAGCGGCGGTGTAGTCACCGCCGCTGGCGCCGGTGATGCCCAGCCACCAGACCCTTTGGAGGAGCTCCTGCGCGACCTGGAGAGCCCCTCCACCAGCGCCGCGTCACTGCTGGGCAGCGCCCGTCCCGTGGAGACTGGTATACCGCTGCGGCTGGTGCAGCGGCCGCGGCTGCCGGTGGATCCGTTGAGCCGGCCGCCGCCGCCAGGGCCGCCGCCGGTGCCCGCCGGTGGTCAGCTCGCCACTGCGCGGCTAACTGTCGGCGGCATAGGGCCCATCTCACCGCTGGGGACACGGGGGAGCTCAGGCGCTCAAACGGAGGCGTGGGCTACAGGTGAGGTAACGTGGGGGCGGGACGAGCACTCTGCAGTGCGCAGCTAAGGGGCCGGAGAGCGTCCGGTTGGGGTTTGCGGAACGCTGTGTATATTTGTGTGTGTGTGTGTGTATTTGTGTGTGTGTGTGTGTGTGAGAGAGAGAGAGCAAGGCTGCGGTTGATACACACAGGGGCAACACATATCTGTGAGGTCACACGTGCCGCACACGGCCAGGACAGGCCGGCCGGCCGGTGATGACTGGCCCACTGTCGTTAAGTTTATCGATTGCTTGCACACAACAGAGTATATACTTGCTGCCTGATCTTGACAGACAGCACTTCCGTACGATGTCGTACACCCCAGGTTTCCATTCCGGGCTCCCTCCGCATTTCACGGGCGCGTCTACCACTGTTGATGGCGTCTCCTTCCCATGTGCCGTTTCAACGGGCAGCGCAATTTCGATTGGACTTCACGGTTTGTATGACACAGGATCCCGCATAATGGACCTGATGGGCCCGGCGCCGCCGGCTGTCCCCTCGGCCCTCGGGGCCCGCAGCCGTATGCAGTCATCAGGACAGTTTTTTGCAATGCCTGCCGTTGCCTTTGCCGGCGCCACTGCTGGCGGTGGAGGCGGCGGCAGTCCTGCCACCTTCTCGTCCGCCGCCGCTGCAGCGTCTGCCAGCGGGCCGACCGTACCCTTCCTCTTCCCGGCAATGCCGTTGTTCAGCGGCGGCGCCAACCCGCCGGTGACGTCAGGTGACGCCAGCATTACGACTGTGCCCTCCGTGTGGCCGTGGGCCGGCGCTGGGGCAGGCAGTGGTGGTGGTGGGGCCGCCGCTTCGAATGTAGTCGACTTTGGCCGGGACACTTCCTCGCCCGTGGTGTCCTTGGAAGCGGGGTTGCGCCAACGCCGGTTCTGGTCCCAAGCCGGTCAGCAGCCGCAGCAGCACATGCACTTGCAGCACAATCCGACGGCCTGGCGTGAGACATTCGTGCCCGTCATACCTAACGCAACAGCTCTCCCTGTTATCAACCTTGATCCAGCCGGTCGCTACTATTCGCACCAGCAGCAGCCCCAACACCACCATTATCAACAACAACAACAGCAACAACAGCAACAACAACAACAACAACAGCAACAACAACAACAACAGCAACAACAACAACAACAACAACAGCAACAGCAACAAGAGCACCAGCAGCGACATCAGCAGCGGGGGTTGTGGCGGGCAGAAGGGGAGATATGGCAGCCGCCGCTGCCAGGCAACGGAGAGACAGCTGCGGCGATGCAGCGGCAGCAGCAGCCGCAGCAGCCACCGCCACGTTCAGGGCAGGTGAAGGAGGAAACGTAGCTGAAGGTCAGCGGCAGAATGGACAACGAATGCGGCCCCTGGCACATCTCAGCGCAGTTCCGGCAACCGCGCAAAGTCCGGGGGAACCTCTTTATGGCTACTGAGGATGGTGGACATTACAAAAGCTTGGGATGAGTAGTGGGATGTAAGTGTGTGGGGGAAATGGGTCTTTACTGTTGGATACCGTTTAGATGCCCGCTAACGGTGCACGCCGAATAGAAAGGCATTCGTAGGTACTGCATCCCCGTCTCGCGAAAGTGAGCAGCTGTCGGTGGGCCACCTGACGGCGACACGCCACAACAGATGGCAGCTGCGGTGCATGCGCAGGACCATGGCTTGCATGGCATATGTATGGTTTGTGCAGGCAGGAACAATTCCACGGCTTAAAAATCGCCGTTCGTCGTCTGCGCCTTCGCCGCCTGCGAAACATGCTGGAATGGCCCGTACATACGTGCTTGTGCGTGTGTCTGCGTGTTTGTGTGGCGTGGGTCTGCATGCATGTATATGCGCGTCCTAGTCCATTTATGGTTGTGTTTTAGGAGCCGATTCCCCGCTGCGGGCAGTCCCGCAAAGGCCATGAGCCAAAGATGAGTGGGCCCACCATCATTAATGTTATAACCGACATGGCTAGCGGGCGGGCGGACATCCACGCAACCCACCCCACCCCACCCCATCCAACCGCTCCCTGTTACCCCCCGCGGTCGCCCTGGGTCAAGAAATCCTCAAGTCCTCCGTCTTTGCATCCATTGGGCTATAAGATTATGCAAGTACGTATGGCAGGCTGTGTTGCACTAGATGCATTCGGCCGACTACGGCCGCCGGCCCACACTGCATCCAACAAGTGCATGAATCTGCCAGGATGATGCGATGTAGTTGATTTTGCTGCCTGCCTGGCCATCGTGTTGCGTCAGCCTGACGGGCTGGCTGACTCGGTGTTTTGGCAGCGAGGCAGCATCGCCCCCGTACGGCAGCGAGCGGTTGGTTCTACGTGTCAACCATAACCCTACTGCAGGGATGAGATGGGACGGGTCAGATGGCTCCTAGCGAGGGGCACCGCGGGCGCCGCGCGATCTCCCTGAAAGCCCCGATTTCGCCCTTCATAGCGCCCTCCCCCTCCCCCTCCCTCCCTAGGGAGCCTTCCTCTGCGCGTGTGTGGCTCGGGAAGTGGGTTGGGTGCTAGGCGCCTTATTCAGTTTGATGTATGCAAAGGCATACATATATACATACATTCATACCATGTGGGTGTTGAGCGGGTGTGGCTTGCCTGTCTCGTTAAGCGCATTGTCTTTGGTGCCCTAACAAGGGAATCGAGGCGCATGCAAACACACCCACACACACACAACCGTGGACGCACGCCTGATGGCCTACAATAAACAGGATGTGACTGTTGCGTTTTCGTGTCGTACGTTTCGGAAGTACATGAAAAAACGGAGGAGTGCCTTCCGCCCAGAATGTTGGGTTCGGTTGGGTTTTAAGTGCGGTTTGTGCTGCGCGGCTAGACCGCAGTTTCGTGACATAGAGAAGGGTTGATATGGCTATCCTGGCACTGCATGCGCGCCCGACCTGTAGTGTGACCCCAATCCAATAGCGGCAATCATAGAACAAGCGCAGGTGTAGAAACGGTACTTGCGTGCTCTCCCCCTCTCTCCCCCTCTCTCCCCCTCTCTCCCCCTCTCTCCCCCTCTCTCCCCCCTTTCCCTCCCTCTCTCTCTCTTTTTTTCTTTTTCTCTCTCCCTCTCTCTCTCTCTCTCTCTCTCTCTCTCTGTGGAGCCTGCATGTGCGTGTTTGCATAGTCGGGCGGCCGGATTATTCCACCTATACCTAGCTTCGAGCAACATTTCATACTATATACCACAGTTTTTACGCTGTGCTGGCTTGTCTAGTCTGTGTTTTTTTATTGCGCTCTGACTGTGGATAAGAAGGCATATGCAGCACGTGCCCCCATACTATAGGCTTTTCTGATGGCTTTGGGGGCACTCATGGTGCCGCCATAGTGGCATAGCAGTTGGGGCCATTACTGGCACCACGTCTGTGCTCTGACAGTCTTGGCTGCCCGGGAATTGAAATTGGCGCGTCGGAAAGACTTGGAATATTGGACTTCTCTCCGCCAATCTTTCGTGTGTCCCTTCTGCGGTAAATCCAGCACTCTTGGAACAGCTTGTCTTCAGCAGCATCTGTGTCTTTTCTAAGCCAAATGTCTTATTTGTGATGAATGTCCCGGCGTGCTAACGCCGTGTGCATTATCCCTTTCTGGCTTTCTTCTCCTTTGGGGTTTTAAGATCATGTAGTAGGTGTCGTACATCACGGCAGACACCATCCAGGCCACATACTCGCTCGTATATGCTTGTTGCTTGGTCCTGTCGAAACATTTACTGGTGTGTGAATGTGACCGTATAGAAGAGGACCTAATGCATGCCATCACTTTTACAGAAGGATATGTGTTGTGTTGTGTTGTGCAGATATGTGCCTGTATCTGCATAGCTCACATAAGGGTGGACAGCGGACGTCGGCGGCTTGGTTGGTCGTAATGGTTGTTCAAGAAAAATGATGCATGTGCGCCATGTGTATCTTGTCGTTGGACGGAAAGCGGTTTTCGCGTGGTACTGTTGCGGCTGATTGGTTAATTGGTTGATTGGATGTTGATGGGTTGGATTGATGGATTGGATTAATGGGTTGGTTGGGTTGCGGCTGTCCTCTTCGCCACCATCGGTGGGCCATCTGTCTTGCGACTCGTGATGACAGTAATGGCATTGCTTCTTCTCATTGCACCAACCTCTTCGCCGTGCCCAGCGCCCCGTTCCCAACACAAGGGCTTCTGTTGTAGTGTTTTTTTGTGCCGCGTAATGCTGCTACTGGCGACGCCAGCCAGCAGTGACGAGCTGGGAGGACACTTAGGCAGTTTACGTGGGCCGTTACCGTGGGTGAGCGAGGTGTACGGCTGTGGCTGCTGCCGTACAGTCGTCCGACATATGTAGCCATCCTTGGATCCAATACAGTAGGTAGAGTTGCATGAAGGCGTTGTTCCCGCATAGCGCTCTTTGTGTCCACTGCATCGCGGCTGCATCGAAGGCGGGATTTCCATCTTGGCAAGGAGGAGCTCTGGTAACGGCTTACCTGTACGGCAGGTGGCAGCAGACTGCGACCCTGCATACTTGGTGATCCGCGCGCATCAGATGTGGCGGCGGAAGGGATTAAATACATGCATACATATATACACATATATACATACATACATACCTGGAACGAGTGAGCGGCATCAGCGGGAAGTGGCAGCGGCGACGCGCGGGTTATACATACATCCGACACTGCCCGTCGCAGCCGTCGCCGCCGCCGCCACAACCATGATTTTTTTACTTCGTTGCGCATTTCATTTGGGGATGGGCAGGCCGCCAGGTGACACTTAGTCGCACAGAGAGCAGCGGGACGTGTGTCATTATCGCTGAAAGAGGGGCTTGTCGAGGGAACCTTGATAATGCATTTCAATAAAATTGGTACGGTAGCTGGAGCGCGCGAGCGCGCACATGTGTGTGTGTGTGGCTTGGATCTTCTTGGTAGGAAGATGCTTGCAACATCGCTGCCGGTTGTCTGCGTCTTGGAAGCCCGGTGTATGTGATGTGTCCACACCCCCTAAGTATCCAAGGATAGCCTTCTGCGTTTTCCGTCGTACGCCACGATGGTCGTACGCCTGCTAAGCAATGTGCGCCGTTTTTTTTCACTGTTGCACTGCCGCGTTTTCCTATCGTAAGTAAAGTTGTATATCCTGCTTTTCTTCACAAACACATATCACATATTCTCTCTTTCCCAGATCAGTGGTGGCTTTCTCTCGTGGTGTTTTATTCCATTTACTAGGATATCACTTCCCACTTGTTTGTCCGTGCTCACGCGCCCATGCGCGCCTCATTAATATGTACTCGAAGGCCCACGGAACCCGATTACGATTGTGCCCGTGGTGCAGCCGTACCTGTCATATGTAAGTAGATTCAATAGATAGCGGATGATAGACAATGCTGACACACTAGCTCAACGGCTCATTATGGCAAAGTAGTGCATGGGTCTAGCTGCTGACGGTTTAGCTAGTGCTGGTCACCGAACTTGTGTCTTCTTTTTGCACTCTCTATCTAGGCATTTCTGTCGTTAGGTTTCGGGGCGCCTGCCGGAGGCTCTCCAGTCAGCCGTCATGCACTTGATGTACGGCGGTAATCAGTAAATCTGCTCGTACTTTTTGTATGCTGATGTATGAAGTACTCGTGCAGATACTTTGATGCAGCAAGACACGTAATGTACGGAGGTGCTCTGTACGTAAAGTACGTGGCATGCGAAGTCCTTACAGCGGAGCATTTGGCGTACGGAGGTATTTGGCGTACGGAGGTATTTGGCGTACGGAGGTATTTGGCGTACGGAGGTATTTGGCGTACGGAGGTACATGGCGTACGGAGGTACATGGCGTACGGAGGTATTTGGCGTACGGAGGTATTTGGCGTACGGAGGTACATGGCGTACGGAGGTACATGGCGTACGGAGATACTTGGCGTGTAGGCGTACTTGGTGCAACAAGGCACATGATGTACGGATCACTGAGTTTCATCAGTTCTGCGAGTAAAATTTGTGTGTTAATGCACAGCTGCAGATTGAAAGCCGATTGATAGGAGGTGAGGCCGAAAGCGAGGGGTAGTGTAGAGGTTAGACGGCCGGTTGTTTGGCGTTGCGGAGGTTGGGATATGGGGCTGCCTTGGGCTCTAGCGGGGCTGTGCCTAGGGAATATTTCCCAATGCGATATTGTTCCGATGTTCCGATGGCTTGGATGTGGGAGTCCAGTGTCGTGTCTCGTCCTTGAACTTGTAGATCAGCAGATCGCGAAAATAAATTGATTGTTGAATGGGTGGACGAACGGCAGATGGATGGCCGTGGATATTTAAGCCGTCGTTGTTTGGCTATATATTTCTACCGGCATCTGTCTCGTCCCTTGGTAAAGCAAGCGTTCCTGATCAGTAGTATAAGGACTTGTTCACATGCTGTGTAATTAGTACGGTGCGGCGGAATTGTGATTTGAATTTTGGGCTATTGGGCCGAATGTCGAACTTGGGGGCTGATTCGGCTGGATTCGGGATTGATTCGATGTATATGGAAAAAAAATTGATATAAAGACCATTTTGTAATTGGGGACCCCACTTTATTAATTCACCAGTCGGCAAATGCCGTGAATTACTTTTTAGCAATTAACCTGCCATACATATACTTCTATGAAAAGGGCATCAGTATGAAGTTATCCATAAGTGGCACACTAGTTATCAGGGCCTCAGACCTGCTGATAACTTTCAAAGTGGACATCAACTTCCGAGCGGGAAAATTCATAGTCAGCCATTTCCCTCCCCAAGGTCCTTCGTTGACTTTTGTATTTTCCTTTATCCACAGCCGCAAATAGCCCGCTGATCAGTGGAATTCCGAGCAGGACCGGTCACATTGCCACATTCCAGCAATTAGTCGACCAAATTGTAATGATTTGCGCATTAAATTACACCCACTCTTACTATAACATTGGTTTGGTGCCTTAATAGCAACCTGTCGTAAGGTTCCGGGGCGCTTAGTGGAAACACCTGTTCAATAGCCACACAATAATTCCACTTTAGAAATAATGTTGGAAAGTTAGTGTGCGGCCAAGAGGAAACACGCAAGACGCCCGGGGGGCCCTGACTCGAAGTGAGCCCCACCCTGGAGTTAGTTGGTACCGCTTTCATGTACTTCCTCAAACAAACTGCTTCTCTAGTACTGTGATGTTTTATTTGTTATATTCAAGAAAACTGAATTGGACTTGCAAGGCGCCACCGCAGTTGCCGGTGCCATGAAAGCGGGACCGTCCCGGGACACAGCATCAGGCCCAGAAATGGACTTATAGGGTTACAGAAAACATAGCTGTACACGGAAATAAACAAAGCCATGGAGTTTGTCCTGGACCCGCGCCATCTGCTTGCATCGCGAAAACCACGCGTCGCGCGCCGCAATGCCAGTAAAGTTTGCCATCGCCACAAAACAGCAAAGCAAAACATACATTGGTAAAACAAACAACAACGGGGATAACGGCTCGCCGGTCAACACCCTCGCTCGCGGCTCAGTTTCTAAAAACACAAATGGGCTAATTTCTCAACACAGCTACCAAACATACACACCGCTATATGACTACTCCACAATAACACAGTAGTCCTCCTCTTCTTCCAGCTGAACTGCCGCCATGCCAGCCGTCCCCGCGCCGAACAAACACCCTCTAATACGGGCCAGCTCTGAGGTAGTCATTGGCAAATCGCGACCGTGCAACATTTTGTGCCTACAATTCAAATCGCCGGAACGAATTAGGCTTGCATTCTTACTCCGACTTACCCTACAAGTGATGAGCAATCCCAGAAATAGTAACTGGATGTATTTCGTCAGTATCCTTACTCACTTGTTTAGTTTGAAGTGCGGGGTAGGATGGTGCTTGTATAGGGCGATCTGGCAGCCCTTGAGCCCTCGGCTCGTATTGGGCGGTTTGCAGGTACGGGGAACGCACCCCACGACCATGTAAACACACACACACACACACACACACACACAGAGGCGAACCTAACGTTTCAAATGTTGTGGTGGAACAGCCTGTCACTTGGCTGCCTCGCAATGAAGACTGTGTGGTCGGGCAGATCAATGTCATGGTGCCAGAGCAATGCCTGCCGCCTATGATGAAACCTTGCGGATGTGTGCGGTGTCTAATCCGCCTTGCAGACCGATCATCGTTGGAAGACGATGTGCACGTGGACCTCCTAATCGGATCCATTTCATTGCTGTACGGCGTCCCCTGCCCGCCTACCGAATGGCGAGAGAGGACCGAATTCACCAATGGTTCACGCTGCCCACACGTTCCTCTCATCTCCTACACCCAGCGCACACACACACACACATACACACACATACACACACAGCTATTTTTCCTATCCCCATCACTATCATCTTCCCCGGCCCACACGCCTTTTGGCCTATACAAAACATAATTAACACTTCCATTTCTCCATCCATCACACCACACCACCGCCCCCGAGGCAGGCGACCTTCGCTTCATCGCCCTTCGGCGTCAGCAGGCTCCCCGGGTCGACTTAATAAACCGGCAAGGAACCGCCGCCATGCGCCGTCACGTAACGCAAGCGCGCATGCAGGCACGGGCAGCTAGCTAGCTAGCTAGCTAGCTGGAGAGACTGGGGTTTGCAACATCATCATCGCAGCAAGGCCGGCCAGTCGGTGGCGGTTGGACCGCACCTTTTTTTGATGTTACTCGTGAAAGCATTTCTATCGGAGTATTCAGTGCACCACTGCCGTCCAACCACACCTCCTCAACCCCGTAAATCCACACATACATACATGCGCACATACATACAACCCTTCAAAACACATCTACACGAAACTTTGTGCACTCGCTGCTTGGCTTTGTGTAGGCCTCCCAAGACCCCCGGCGGTTTCTTGCCTGTATGTCTGTCTGAATATCCGGGCAGCTCTTCATCTTCCTTTCTTTCTTTCTCTCTCTCTCCCTCTACTTGCAGCCCTCCAATGTCGTACTCGGCCCCAACGGAATTCCTAGTAAGGCCCAACCACCTAATGAGCTTCATCTGCCTTATCAAATATTCTACATATAAATTATCTTCAGGTACCGTTGGTGCTTTTCTGTCCCTCTCTAAAATATCCCCCTAACTTCCACCGCGGAAGCTCCACGGGGCCTCGCAGGCCGTTTAAGAGCTACGCCAACACTTCCACAGCCACCAGTCTGCAGTGAGATCCGAACGCAGTGAAAAGCTGCAGGGGGCCCGAGGGGCCCCCACGGACCGAGGACCCGTCCCCGCCCCCGCCCCTATCCAGCCCCTATCCAGCCCCCGCCGAGCCCCCATACACACAAAACACAAAGCAACGCACAGACACGCATCCACTTCAAGCATTCTTTAACAACCTCCCGACGGCCCGCGCACATGCAGAAAGACAGACAGACAGACAGACAGACAGGAAACAACAAAATGATGTCATCAACTAGAGGCAGCTGCTTCGCCGCAATCAAATAAACAAACAAACATACTTACAAACAAACAAACAGCAAGCAAACATATACATGCATATGTACATACATACATGCATACATATATACATACATACACCCAGACAAACGCAACGCAGCACACAAACCAAACACAAACCAAACACAAACCAAACACAAACCAAACACAAACCAAACACAAACCAAACACAAACCAAATACAAACCAAACACAAACCAAAAAAAACAAGACCTACACGACCCAAGTATCAGGGACACACATCCACACACGCCCCCACACACACTCCCCTTCCCTCCCGACTTGAGTTCAGGGGGACCTTCCTATTTCCCAGGTAGCCGTAAGACAGCCGCACCACAACGACCCCCCGGACGGCCGCAATGGGACACAAAACCGCTCTCACGCATCTCATCACAGGCTGAAAACCGAGCCCCGCTGCGTGCTTCGAATTTCGCAATAGAGCTAAGAAACAAGAAACGTCCGACAAAAATAAACCCTTTTTCGGTCACCAAAAAAACATTTACATTTATCTCTGGCTGCTGCTGCTGCTGCTGCTGCCGCTGCCATACCGCTGCTGCTGGCGCTGCCGCTACGGCTGCCTCTAGGAGAAGAAGTAGAGCGACTCCCGCACTGCCTCCAGCGGCAGGTCCCCCAGTCGCGGCAGCGGCGGCAGCTCCAGGGTGGCTCCCTGGTACAGCGGGTTGGTCTCCACTTCGTGACGCAGCTCGGCCAGCAGAGGTCGGGAGTGCAGCTCCACAAAGGTGGCGCTGCGGGGCGGGGAGGGGAGGGGCAGCGGGAGGGGCAGCGGGACCGGTTGGGTGTGTTGGCTCACCTGGTGCGAGGTGGCGGTGGTGGCGGTGGTAGTGAGGAGGGGGGTGGTGGCGGTGGTGGTGGTGGTAGTGAGGAGGGTGGTGGTGGCGGTGGTGGCGGTGGTAGTGAGGAGGGTGGTGGTGGCGGTGGTGGTGGTGGTGGCGGTGGTAGTGAGGAGGGTGGTGGTGGCGGTGGTGGCGGTGGTAGTGAGGAGGGGGGTGGTGGCGGTGGTGGTGGTGGTGGTGGTGGTGGTGTGTTGAGGTTGAGGTTGAGCGCGTTTGAGGGAAAGGCGACAAGGATGTTTGTTTTGATGGTCTGAGCCGCATGTAGGAACTGGTGCGGGAGTGTATGTGTGTCTGTATGTCTGTATGTATGTATGTATGTACGTGTCCGTTACATATCGACCCGGGCTTGACGCTGGCACCTAGCCGTATACCCCAATGGGAACGACCAACCGCCGAAGCACTGTCCGTCATCGGAGGGGGAGAGGGGCGTGAGGGTCCCCACAGTCCCCTCCTGCTCGACCGGGGGCGCGCGACCCCGTGTCCCTAGGTAGAGGGGAGTGTTGGGGTGGGCTGGGAACACACCGCACAATGCAAAAACACACACACACACACACACTCTCTCTCTCTCTACCCTGCCAATACACCCCAGCCAGCACACAACATCCCGCCCCTCCCCCGTTCCGTCCCTCTACATAGATGTCGTACTTCCCGTCGTACCGTATGTGACGACTCATGTCGTCCACCGTAGCGGCGTGCGTCCAGAAGCTGTCGTGTACGGCAGCAAAGACTCCGCCGGCCCGTCGTACAGCCAGCGCCGTCATCATCATATGCGCGCTATCCAGGGAGTGTATGTAATTGGGCGGGAAGCCGTTACGCTGTCGGCGAGGGTCCACGGGGGCCGCCGACTCTCGGCGGTAGTCACGCAGTGTGATCTTCTGCGGGGAGAGCGGGGGGAGAGCGGGGGGAGAAGCGGGGGTAAAACACATGACATGCTCGGGGCTAAACCCCTATCCCCTTCCTTATCCCTGTATCACGTACGAAACCGCACCCCATCATCGTCTGGCGCTGGCCTCCCCACCGAACTCAGGAACCCCCACCCCACCAAGCGCAGATAATATCACACGCACACACGCGCAAAGCACCCTTTCCAAGGCGCATTACCCCTCTCTTAACAAAACTGAACATTTCAAACGTGTGGAGGGTTGCAGGAGGACATTGCGTCGGGTCCCCCTCCTCCTCCCTTCAGGTAACCCCCCGGCCCTTTCCAACCCCCCATCCCCCCCCCCAATACACACACATCCTTCCCCCCATCCCCCCCCAATACACACACATCCTTCCCCCCATCCCCCCCCCCAATACACACACATCCTTCCCCCCATCCCCCCCCAATACACACACATCCTTCCCCCCATTTCCCCCCCCACACACACACAAACCTGCAGGGGTGTCCATACTTGTACGGTTGGCAACTTCCTGTACGGCTGCTCGATGGGAAATCCCAACGGACTCGTCCAACAGACCGGCTGACCCGAGGACACGGCGAACTGGGACAGCGGACGAGGACGGCGACAATGAGGACGAAAAAGTGCGCGGAGTCAGCGCGGCAAGAGGGGGAAGGCGGAACAGGTTGGAAAGCGATGGGCGCGGGCGGGAATATCAGGCGGAGGGCGGGGGGGGCCCTGCACGGTTTACACATGACGAAACATGGCCCGGGTAGTAGTATGGCAACACATCTCGGTAAGGTCTGCTGGTTTCTGGCTCCTGCTGCATGGCCACGCACGCACGACCCTCACCTTTTCCCTCGGATGCCCCTTCCATCTCTTCTTCTCCCTGCCTCTCCCTGCCTCTCCCCCTCTCCCCCTCTCCCCCCTCTCCCCCCCAATACACACACACGCCGCACCTTGGCGCAGTCATCCAGCCAGGCCCTCAGCGCCACCACGGGACCGAACACCTCCCCCATGGACTCGAAGATGATGCGAGACAGGTAGCTGGCCACCTGGGGGGAGTGGGGGGGAGTGAGGGGGGAGTGAGGGGGAGGAAGCATATGTGCAGGAAGTTAGTGGTAGTTAAAGGGTGGAGGTGGAGGTAAAGGTTCAGGAAAACACAATGGCAGGTGTCCTAAACAAGATACATGCATACCCATACCCATACCCATACCCATATCCATATCCATATCCATACCCATATCCATACCCATAGCCATAGCCATAGCCATAGCCATAGCCATAGCCATAGCCATAGCCATAGCCATAGCCATAGCCATAGCCATAGCCATAGCCATAGCCATAGCCATAGCCATAGCCATAGCCATAGCCATAGCCATAGCCATAGCCATAGCCATAGCCATAGCCATAGCCATAGCCATAGCCATAGCCATAGCCATAGCCATAGCCATAGCCATAGCCATACTCATACCCATACCCATACCCATACCCATACCCATACCCATACCCATACCCATACCCATACCCATACCCATATCCATACCCAAATCCCTGCGTACACACCTACTTACGCACACCACTGCGACCCATGCCAACGCTCGCCCACAGAAACATGGGATACACACAGATACACACACACACACACACGTACATACATACACAGAGACATGCCCCTACCTTCCGCCGCTCGCGTTCATTTGTCCAGCCCCGCTCTTCAAGACGATTCTCAATTTGCTCGCGTGCACCCATCATCGTTACGCCGTACACGTACGTCATGACCGTCTGTTTGACCAGCTTGCGGTCAACGCTGCCGTACACCTTGGTGGCTTCGGAGCGGCCTTGTTTACGGTCACGTGCCACGCGATCTGCCACCGCATTCGCCACCGCCTGTGTTCGTGTATGTATATGTATATATGTATATATGTATATATGTATATATGTATATATGTATATATGTATATATGTATATATGTATATATGTATATATGTATATATGTATATATGTATATATGTATATGTATATATGTATATGTGGGCTCAAAAGCCGGGCGCCCAGGGCCGAAAAACAGCGCGGGGGGCGGGTGCAGACGCACACGGCTGGTTAGTCTCTCTGGTTAATGTATGTGTCTGCGTCGGGACAGGGGGTTGGCCCCTTGGGTTACAGCCCCCAACCCCCTCCCCCCCTTCCCCCCCCCCTCCCCCGCACCCACCTGGTACACGTCCTGCGGTCGATCTGCGGGCAGCAGGTTGACCGCCGCCCCGCAGTACCGGTCCCGTGCCAGTGCCGCGTAGTGCTGCAGCCCGTTGCAGGTGCCGTCCTGGGAGGGTTTTGAATTGGTATCTTAGGGCTAAGGTTTTAGAAGCAACTTCCCCCCGACATTACCCGCTAAAAACCCCACCCCCCCTCCGCACACACACCCGTAGTACGAGAAACTAACTACCGCCATCCATCGACTTCTAATAACCGCCGTAACTTCCACAACTCCCACAACTGCCACAGCGACAACAAAACGTGCATGTGCTTGACACCAAAATACAGCCTTGTACGGGCGTACGGGACACTGTCGTAAATCACGGAGAACCTCTACCTGGATGACCGGCAGGTGGCTGACGTACGCCGCCGGGTTGTCGCCGCTGTCGAGGGCTGCTGCCAGGTCAAAGCATGTCGCCAGCAGCTGCCAGGGCCGCTCGCCGCCACGCCACCACTCGGCCTCCAAGGGGTTCGCGGCGCTGGCGCGAACAGCCGGCAACGCGTTCTCAGCCCATTCTAATCGCTGCGATATTGGCAACTTGTCCACTCCACGACCCCACAAATTGGCCGCCTGAGGGCCGCCGCCGCGGTATTTGCAAAAGTTTTCAATAAAAACGATTTTTTGCAATGTTGCAAATGATATAAATTTTTTTCAACAAAAAAGATTATAGGAAAGAATGGAGCAAGGGATGGAGAAGAAAAAAAAAGAAGAAAAACGAGGATGTGTTCGTAATAATGACCGTGGCAAAACGGTGTGATGGCGATTGTTGCGACGACATGTTAACACGAATTATAATTCCTCGTCTATGCCTCGCGTTGATTGCTCGTTGTTTGTTGTTCGTTGACCTGCGTTTTTAACACCGCTATCCAGAGCACAATCTCGTCCCAGTGCTCTCGTCCCCTCGTCCACCCCCACCCCCGTCCCCCCAAGCCACCAGCTCTTACGCCGCCGCTTCTCGCCTCCCGCCTCCCCCTTTCCCCCCCTCCTGCAGGGCCCCCCCTCCCCTTCGCACCTGCACAAGCAGCCACTTGAAGCCGCGCTCCCCCAGCGGCTTCCCCACTCCGAACTGCAGCAGCGCCCTCGTGCCGTCATCCGCCAGGTGGTTGAGGAACGGGTGAAGGGGGTAGGCACGGCCCCTACGCGCGGTCGCGATGGGAGCGGATGTGGTATTTGGGCCTCTATACGAGGTTTTTACGAGGTGCTGCTGAGGGGGAAAACCCTGAAGCCGCACATACACACAGACAGACACACATGCACACGCACACGCAACTACCGTACACTGACATCCCCAGCGTTTGGGTGAGGGTCCCGTAGAACGCAAGATATTAGGAAGGTATATGCACGTGATGCAAAGCAGCCGGGAGGCGAAAACAGTATTGTACGGCATTATCGTACGGCATACCCCATGTACCGCAGAATACATGGACAATGAGGGAATCCCAAGAACATGAAAGAGGAAGGGCGGTGACTGGCGAGGTCCCCCAAGCGATTGCTCGATGTGACCCACGGGTCCGTTTGTCCCATCTGGATCTGTGTCGTACGGTTGTCGTACCTGAAATCCACGTTATGCGGCTGAAAAAATATCGCGGGCTTGCCCCCGTTGAGATCGAGCGTCGGAAGCATCAGCGCAGCGAGCTCATCTGACGACCGCGAGGGTAAGGAGGTAGAGGAAGGCGCCGCCGTACCTGTGCCGTAGTTGTCGTACGCGCCCACAAGCTGACGTGCCGTCTCTAGGCGGTACTTCAAAACCGTACGTTGACCGGACTCATTCCTGTTGGCCATCCGGACATCCTGCAAGATATCACACCGGGATCCTAGTTAGGAAAGCTAACATTAATTAAAAAACCACCTTCCGTACGTACTTAAAATTAACGCGTACGATCAAAACACGCATAACATTTCATGTACTGCTCCGTACGCAGCCCAGTTACGCCACTCGCGAATAAAAAATAATTAAGAACGATAAAGGTTAAGTTAAGAAAAACAGAAAACACAGCAGGAAAACTCCGAGGACGGAAACATATCTCACATCGCATTGGTGCTGGTACTCGACCTCCTCTCCGGAACTGAGTGCTCCGGAACCAACCAACAATTGGCCGCCCCGAAACCCCTCCCGCTGCAATCGCATGTACGGCGTGCCGCATTGCTCTGGCGTCTCGTCTCCTAAATAGGCCTGTCAGGACAGGGCAGGAGGTCAGCATTCTGAGATAAAAGGAAATAGGGGGACGTACGACGAAATGGGGGACGTACGACGAAGGAGGGGAACCTGCACGCGGCTTCTTAGGCCAGCACGGGTGGGGGGGGAACCTGCTGCTTCCGTTGCCGCCATATTGCCGTATACGCATCCTACTCTTTGCCAAGCTCGCCTGCGACATTGTGACAACCCCGACACGTACACATACACACACGCACACGCACACACATACCCGTACACATACACACATACACACAAACACGCCCACGTCAGCCCCGGGGAGCGGACCTTCCATTCGATGCACCAACCAGAGTAACGGTCAGAACCACCTACTGTCAACTACCAAAACTATTCCGGCCTTTGGCGATCTAGCACAAGAGCGTCTCACCCTGGTGTGGTCGTTGAGGTTGGTTGTGAAGCGCGGCGGCAGTTGGTGGGGCGCGGAGGAGGGGATTCCCAACACGCCGCCGCCTGGCAGATACACAGAAACACAACAGGTCGTGTTGGTGTGGCGTTGGTGTTGTTTTTGGTGATGATGGTGATGGCAGTGTTGTTGGTGTTGGTGCCCATGGTGGTGATGATGGTGGTGACGATGGTGATGATGATGGTGGTGATGGTGGTGACGGTGGTGGTAGTACTGAAACCCCCGCGTGGCGAAGGGAGGGAGCCAGGCAATTAAAGGCTTTGGCTGTAGTGTAGCTGTGTATGGCCCGTCTTCCTTGTCCCGCCCCTTCATTCCGTGCCATAACCCCACCTCCGTCACCCCCGCCCCCCCCCCAACCCAACCCAACCGCATCCCCAAACCCAACCAGCCCCATCCCACGCCCTCCACCGCACCCACCGCTGTTGACGAAGTGCTCCATCACTGAAAACACGCGACTGTTGACACGCCACGGCACATTGCCCAGTACGGTAAGTGCGTCGTACAACTGCTGCATGCGGCCCTCCCTGTCGGCTTCCCGGAACATGCTCAGCAGCTGCGAGCGGTTCCGGGGGGGACCGTAGTTGAACGAGCGCGAGGGCGGACGTGTGTGCGGAGTAAATTTGGGCAGAGTAAACTTGATGATAAATGATAAAAAGATGATGATAAATGATAAAAAGATGATGAGGAAAAATTGAAGTGGAGAAGAAAGAGTTGCAGTGGCAAAGGACAAAAAATTGAATTTTTTTGGAATGAAGCGAGAAAAAAAGTCGCGTCGCCATTTTTCCCCCGCGAAATGGCCTGGGGAGGAAGGAGGCAATACAGCAGGAGCCGTGAGTCAAGGCGGGAGGTCGGCAGGAGCTGCGGGACCTGGGGGTTGTGCCCTGCAGCACCCGCCGCCTTTTTAAAACGCCTATTCAGGCTACCCCATCTGCCGGTCCCGAAATGTGATTAAAATGTCCCAAAACAGAGATATCTTTTTGGAGCGCCAAAAATATCTCAGAATGACAGAAAAAACGGCGATCCGCGGCCAAAGAAATCGATTTGGCGATCTCTGATCAATGACGATCGCGATACCACACGCAACCACCCAACCGAACCCAACTAACGTTCACAACCACTCTAACGGAACGGCAACCGAGGCCCAACCCAGCCCCCGTTTCCCACAGGCACCCACCAGCGGGCTGTCCCGCGCCTTGACGACGGGTACGGTGGTGGTGAGCAGACCCCCCCCTCGCAGGCTGGACCAGGGCCGGGGCTCAACCAGCATGGGTAGAACACGGGGCTGTAGCAGCCGTCGGAGCTGGAGGCAGTAGCAGCAGCAGCACCAGTAGCAATATCAGCATGAGCAGTAAGATAATCACGGCAGCAGTACCAGTCCGCAGCAGTACCAGTAGCATCCCCAGCGGTCAGCGAACAGCGGGAAAAGAGATGAAAATACGGCATTAAGGTGTCAGAAGGCGGCGGCGGATGGTGCGGTCACCGCCAACAAGGCCATATCCGCGGTCGCAACAACAACGCCAACAACAACAAGCCTCAGCACCAGAAACGGCCCCCACGATAACAATCACAACAGCTATAACCAACGGTTACGTGCTGCTGCTGCTGCAACCGTTTTCACCCCGCCCCGTGTTCCCCTCCTTCCCCCGCCCAACCCAACCCACCTCCTCGTCCCCCTCTAGTAGCCTGAGCAGCTGCGGATGGCACACAATGACGCCCGGCGTCTGGTAGCCGCCGCGTTGGAAGGTCATCAGGCCGCTGGTGGTGTGCATGAAGGCCGGCGCGTCCTCATCGGTGTCCGGTAGCCGGATGCGCAGCGAGCCCATCGCCAGGACCAGCAGGCTGGCCCCCACCTACCCACAGCGGGAGGGAGGGAGTACGGGGGAGAGGGGAAGAGGGGGAGAGCGAGGGAAATCACATCAGG